CGTGGGTCTTTGGTAGTGTTTCACAGGTTTGAGTGTGTCCGTGGGTCTTTGGTAGTGTTTCACAGGTTTGAGAGCACCGAGTGTAGACTGCTGGTTAAAGCGGATGAGCCTGTTTAATTGTTTGTTGTGTTTTTTGTTTTGCATCCTGGCATCGTTCGCTATCAATCAACGTCATGACGTGTTTCTCCTCTTAAAGCTGCTACATGTAACTTCCCTTGTAAAAAGAAAATAACAGCAAACCAAGAAGAAGCTTCTTTTTTAATTCATCATTCTGGACTGAATGCATTCCGCAGCATGCTGTATTTGTGACAATCCAAAGATGAAAATAGGTCATCCTTACAAGGAGCACTTGAAGGCATCATTGGGGAACGGGTCAGGGTGTCTATTTATAGCCTCAACACTTCTCTGACTGTTTCCTCCTGCTTGTTGACACTGGGCCAGTTTTCTTTTGTTGTGCCTCGGTTCATTTCAGACTTTGTTATGTTCCAGCGGAGGACATTTTTCCTTTCGACATCACAGTGTTTCATAAAATGACTCAAACTTTCCACCGAGGCAGATCTGCAGTCAGCTGAGCTGGACAGTCGATGAGCAGCAGAGATTAAACAAGTGACACATTAAGGGGAAAATGATAATAATCTTTTGGCGTTTTAAGAAAAAAGTACCTGAACATTTAGAGATCGTTTCACACTGCACAAAAAAACCCATTAACACCCAGAAAAGTTACATTTGGCGTTTATTCAGGGGACAAATGACTTGACAGGAGATTCACTCATTTTGGGCCCTTTTACGGTGCCATGCTGTGAGGCTCGTTAAAGTGAATATATAGCCTAATAAATAAAACACATCAGGGATTTGGACAATTATTGTAATTTATAAATGCACAAAGCATAAAACTGATATTTTCTCCTCAGAGTCACCAGACTCGATTTGAGCTTTGACATTATGTGTCATCATGTCCCACAGTGCACCACACTGAGCCGGACGTGAGGGATGATACCTGACAAGTTATACGCTGCACCATTGTAACACTGCACCAAATGGTTTGTTCCGTCGCCAGCTGTTTAGTCTGCTGGCCCGACAGACTCCTGTGTCACAGGTCCAATTACACCAATGAGCTACTCGAAGTTAACCCACATGTCTACAACCAATCAGAATCATTTTCAGTAGTGTGTATGCTAATAGGTTAATATGAACTGTGTGCCGGCACACTTGCAGAGCCTACAATGTGTTCTCCATTACTGTTGGTCAGATGGAGAAGCTAAATCCAGAAGAAACAGAAACAAAACAGCGTTCATCGTCAACCTTTGATGCTACTCATTTGCTCAATAGCTTGTCAAGCTTTGTAAGAACATTAACCACCAAAGATGGAGAATGCAACCTAAACAGATTGACCAAGTGGCCCAGTGTCCAGTTATATTCATTTATTTGGTGGAGAAACCCAGCGTGTAACGTTCCACCAGACACATCAGGAGCTACAAGTCACTAGAGGATCCACTCTGTTATCTGAGTTCATGTACAGAACATCAAAACACCAGGACAGAGACTCTATTGACATGTTTAAACGGGAGCTACAAACAACCAGACCATTTGATGCTGTTAGCAGTTTTAATCCAACATTTAAAGTTTCCCTTAGAGAGTTGGGGAGAAAAAAACGCCACTTCCATAGTTGAGATGCGCGTTCATATCTTTGATGATATTGACTGTAAAAGGGTCATTAGTAAAGCGTGGCTGAGGTTTTGAGCAGCTATTCTTAACCACTGGGCCTCACAGCGCCCTCTAGTGGGCCGTGGAGGCAGCCTACTGCCGGATAGTTCGATTAAATTAAAAAAATGTTGAGAATATATAAAGCTAGGTGTTTTTATACATAAATAAAATTTCAATGACCATTTAAGTATCACCACGACACTCACGACACATCGTCTGTAGAGACATTCTTGTTTAGCTCCTGTTATTCTCATGTTTTTTGTTTTTCTCTTCATGTGGAAGGTGGTTCTCTGAATTTTTCCTAACAATCAGAAGTGAGCCTTAAATTACAAAAGATTGAGACGACACGTTGCTCCAGATACCAACCAGTACTCTTACATCACATCAGTTTGTGGTCATTTCATTCAACAACAGTTGAGTTTGAATTATGCACCACGTCAGTATAATAACAACTGAAATGCAACCTTCACACGAGGCCTCTCTACACCAGGGCCACCAGACTAGACAACAATGCGGTCCTAATCTCCTATTATTGAAGTTAGTAGTGTGATCAAGTGGTGCATATTCTCATGTTGATGTACTCCGGGGTAAATGTGAGGCCTTCAGGGTTCCCCGAAGGTCTTGACCTGGACAAATACTCAAAAACAACAAACTCTGACTGAAGAAATAAGCTAAACTTCACCGTCGAGAGGGGGAATTTGAGACAAAAGGCTCACATGAAAACTGACCAGATTGACCAGAAAATTAGGTTTCATTTAGAGTTACATCTCTGACTCCTTCGGTGTGTGTTTGAAGAGTGACCTTTTATAACTCTGGCTGTGAACTTTCACAGGACAGGAAGGCAGGAAGTGGAGAGAAGGAGGAGGGGAGGGGAGGAAACAGGATGAAGACAGGAAGGAAGGAGCTGCACAGGAAAGGGTGGGATGGAGAGAATTAGAGACAAATGGGTGGAACAGGAAGGAGATCTGTAAAAGCCATATCGGAGGATTTGCTGAGCGTGCCTTTTTTTCCAGCAACACTCATTGATCCACTCTGCCCGTCTATGTGAATCCTTTACTGACTCATGTTTTATGAGAGATATATGATGTCCGGAGGATTTGTTCGCCTCTGTCAGATTTCCATTTCCTTTGATTGACAAACAGATTAAATTAGATCTGTGGAAGAGTGATAAATGTTAAGAGATACATGGATGGGCTACTGACTGGGACTATCAGGCACAGGCCCAGGGGCCCAAAGTGTCAGGGGGCTCCCTGGTCTTCACCTAAAAAACAGTCCCTCGAAGAGACATGTACCAACCAGGAAGAGAGGACCACAAAACAAAACATAAAATGACTGCAAAGAGACACAAAAAGACCACGAAGAGACTCAAAACAACTACCAAGAAATTCAAAATGACAACAATGAGACAAAACAACGACAAAGAGACTCAGTTTTTGCAGGATTGAAACCGTCTCTCTTCAACCCAGAACAAAAACATTATTATTTTAACAGATTTGATTTATAGGCTGTATGTTGACCAACTTTCTTCAAACTTTGACAAACTGGAATAGAAAATGAATAATATGTAGTCATCCTGTGGACAGTGTTATATAGTTTAAGTGTCATGAACCCATGAATGTGTATGATATTTAAAACGCTGTTATATACACGACCATCACCTCAGACCTCGCTCTTGTCCTTCTAGATTATTCATGAATATTACCCGAAAATCACGACACAGACAATAGAAACAAAGACATGAACCCAAACTGCTCTTTCTGTGATAAATATTCAGAAACAGTTTCACAAAAAAATACAATAATATCTGGCCTTTAAAGACTTTACATTATGATGTAATATTTGCTGCTTCAAAAAATAATTTCTTTTTCCTTTGGAATAAATGTTTTTATTCATAAATGTAAATTTAACATTTTATTAAAACAAATTTAGTTGTTTGTTTTCCTCGAGGAAGTTGGGCAATATGTGAAACTACTTTATAATTTAACAAATAGGCTTACTATGTGTATGTTTTGTCATATTTGTGTCTATTCTGATATATCTTATTCATATTTTCTATTTTTTAAATATGTCTTATACTATTGTACTAGTGTTTTAATGTTATGCACATGACATTTGATATATATAGATATACATATGATACTATATATATATTTTTTTATAATTTATATATAGTATTATAGCCAAATTCCTTGTTATGTGTGACGTTCTTGGCAATAAACCAATTTCTGATTACAAAAAAGAAAAACGTTTGAGCTGTCTGCCAAGTGCGCATGCGTGTAGAGGGAAGCGGAAGTAAGCATCATGTCGACAGAGGATCCGTTTTTCGTTGTGAAGGGGTGAGAAACGTACACATTAAGACCTAAAACCCGCCGATATCTGGAGCTAATTCAAGCCGTTACGCATTGAAAGCTTAACAAGAAAGCGAAGATTATGTTTTCCTTAAAAAAAATAAAAGTTACATGAGCGAAGTTGAGGCTAAAGCTAGCTGTAGCTAACTAGCATCGGGTGCTACCAGCAGCGCAGAGGGGGTCAGTGTGTGTGTTGACGTTTGTTTTTAACTAATTAAAGAGTCACTTCCGCTCTGGAGTACCTCGTGTTCACAGCTGGCTCGCGGTACAGCTCTGGCACTCCGCTGTCAGGCAGTTTGCGAGGCGCTGCGAAGTTAAGAGAAAGGATGCTAACATGTAGCTGCTGTGTTTTGTTTTGGTTAAACGAGGGGCGTGGCTGTAGGAGACATGTTGGGGGGGAAACAAAGTGCCAGGTGTCTGGGTGAAAGGTGAAGTACACTAGATAACTGTGTGTGTGTGTCTCTCTCTCTCTGTATGTATGTATGTATGTGTGTGTGTGTGTGTGTGTGTGTGTGTGTGTGTGTGTGTGTGTGTGTGTGTGTGTCTCTCTCTGTGTATGCATGTGTGTCTCTGTGTGTCTCTCTGTGTATGCATGTGTGTCTCTCTGTGTATGCATGTGTGTCTCTGTGTGTGTGTCTCCAGGGAGGTGCAGAAGGCCCTGTCTCGAGCACGGGCCCTGTTCGATAGATGGGAGGAACTGTTGCAGGATGGGGCACAGGTGAGCTTTGCCAACAGATCTTTAATCACATTGTTGGTTTTACATTTGTCTCTTTAAATCTGTATTAAATGTGCTCAAACATTCCAGTCCTACACGTAAAGGAGGCTTCACAGCTCCTCTAACACACCACACACATCTAATCAAGAGAGTGTGAAAATGAAAACGCGTCCGTGGTGAGATGAACTGTAGTTAACCGAGTGTTCTTTGGGTTCTGTGGTCTGAAGGTGAGCCGGGATGAGCTGGACTGGAGTGCCAATGAGCTGAGGAACTGTCTGAGGGCCATAGACTGGGACCTGGAGGACCTCAGTGAAACCATCAGTATCCTTTCAGCAGAACAACAAATATCAGAGAGCCTCTCAGTACGTAGAATAATGTATTTGTTTCAAACCTCTACACATTATTTGCAGTACATGTACACCAGTCAGACACATTCAGGTACACTTCAATGATACACTTTCAGCTGTTGTTACTGAATGCATGACAACGTGCTCAGCAGTGAGCACCTGGAGGCGTGTCGGGTTCCTTAACCTGCTCAGGTATCGTGGAGTCCAACCCGGGGAAGTTCAGACTGGGAGACGAGGAACTTCAGGAGAGGAGAGGCTTTGTGGAGCGGACCAGGGAGTCTGTCCAGGTGAAACTCATCAAGTTAGATTTTTATTAAGAGGTTGTCAAGTATCATAGTTCACTAGTTTAATTATTTATATGTGTGTGTGTGTGTTGTGATTTAATTGCCTGAATTTGCTGAAAAATATAAATCGATTAAAAACTGATCGACAAATCAATTTCAGCAAATTTGTCTGCAGATAAATAATAAAGTGCAGAAATGTCCAAAATATGTTTCTGGCAATTTAGAATCAGTGTAGCCTCTAGTTTCAAGTCTTCTTCAATACAGCATGATGTTCATTTAGTACATTATGGTCCATTTAGAGTCACACAGACCATAAAGCAGGGGATGCTTTAGGGCGGGGCTACACGGTGATTGACAGGTCTCTACCAGAGACGTATACGCGTCTCTACATCACTCCCCCTCAGTCCAGATATGGTCACTTCCTGTTCACTGGTTGCGGAAAAAACAACATGGCGATGGCGAAATCACCGAATTCAAGTCTTCATAACATCCACAAACCAACGAGTGACGTCACGATGACAGTCTGTGTGTTTCACTGTGATTCTCTTGTCAGGAGACATTTAATGGATTCTCCATCGTTACTCGTTTTGTCTGCGTCCACCTCCGTGTAACACTCGCGTAAAGGTAGCGTCCCACAAATAGAGCTGAGTCATCAGAGCCAAACAAAAGAGCTTTAATACCGACGGGAACAAAAGGCCTCCTGACGCTCTCATCTGATCACAGTAATGGAGGTCTCTGCACTATGCCGGGCTTCTAAAGGTGTGTGTGTGTGTGTGTGTGTGTGTGTGTGCGCAGGACATGAAGGATCAGCTGTCCAGCCCTTCTGCTGTGGCTCAGGCAGAGAAGAAGAACAGAGAGGTAGGTTCATGTGTAAGTAGTAATGTGTGTGTTATAAGCTCTACTCACCCCTCATGAACAGTTCCATGAACAGACTTTGTGTCGTCTGATCTTCAGAGAGCTCATCTCACGCTCAGATCTTACTTTAGTTCATCTCTTCACACTCCGCCGATGTTTCGCCTCCTCGCTTTGGCACATTTCCATCTCGTACAGAAAAAGTGAAACTAAATGTTGCATCTTATGATTGTGAATGTGACGTGAACATCAAACTCACTGTGTTCTGACCTCAGGTCTGATGTTTGCAACCGTAATACACACACTCCTTTGTTCCCCCATTAACTGTCTCTGTCTGTCTATCTGTCTCCCTCTCTCCCTCCCTCCCTCCAGGCTCTGCTGACGTCTTCAGGACAGGACAGGTCAACAGGACTTGAGGCCCATCTGGTGTCTGCTAACTCCAGATACATCCAGGACCAACAGGAGCAGCAGCAGGTAGAGAGGGATGCTGGATAATGAGGAAACCAGAAGCGGTTACAATGCGGTCCAGAGTTAGCGGTTCTTTAGAGGTTCTGGAGTGAGACGTCCTCGTCTCAAACGTCCTCTCTCTGTCTCTGTCTCTTTGTCTCAGTGCAGCGTGAGACTCACATCAGGAACACAGAGAGGAAAACATTTAAATAAAACCAATAAAACCGGTTAGAGTGAGAGGACAAAGGATGAAAGAGAGATGAAGAAAGAGAGCTTTCATATTCTCTAAAGAATCAATAAAGAATTCAACTTAAGAGACATTAAAGAGGACCAGTTGTCTCTACGTTGCTAATACACATTTGTAATGGTGTTGTGTGACTTCTTTAGTTGTGAAATAAGACGTCTTGTAAACTCCCACACGAGAGCCTCCGAGCCGTTAGTTCGTAAGAGGAGACGTTAGCAGACGAGGACGACTCCGTCACAGAGAGACAGCGTCTCCTTCTGTCTGCTGTACGAACGTTCACGACTCAACACGTCACTGTGAAGCTCAGCTTCGGTGTCACAGGGCAGTTTGTCCGTTTCTGCTTCCCGTGGTGTTGAATGACGGAAATATTTCTTTCCGCACATCTTGTGTCAGGTTGTGGTTTTTACTACAAAAAAAATGACAGTGTTCATACGCTGAGGATGAAGGGTAACTGTGTGTGTGTGTGTGTGTGTGTGTAGCTGATCGTGCAGGAGCAGGATGAGCAGCTGGAGTTGGTGTCGGGCAGCATCAGAGTCCTCAAAGACATGTCGGGACGCATCGGGGACGAGCTCGACGAGCAGGCTGTGTGAGTGCACACACACACACACATAATGCATAATTCCACTCAAACAATTAGATGTGACATCCAGACGGCAAATTCCGGTTCTACAGAGTAAAGTCAAAGCTTCATGTGTTAAAGCTGCATTCTCTCTAGTGTCCACCAGGGGGCGACTCCTCTGGTTGTATAGAAGTCTATGAGAAAATGACTCTACTTCTCTCTTGATTTATTACCTCAGTAAACATTGTGAACATGAGTTTATGGTCTCAATCTCTAGTTTCAAGTCTTCTTCAATACAGCATGATGTTCATTTAGTACATTATGGTCCATTTAGAGTCAAACAGACCATAAAGCAGGGGATGCTTTAGGGTGTGTTATCAGAAGGAATTCTGGGAAATGTTTGAAATCATAACGGCTGAAGTAGAGCTGTTAGAATCACAGGTCAGGACAAAGTCTACATGTTCAGCTTCATTACAACTCTTTAATATTAATGGAGGTAATAAAACACTCCGAGGCCTTTAGAAGTTCCTGTTTCCTCTTTAAAAAGTAGAACTGTGCATGTGAACGATGTTTAAGTGTGTGTGCGTGTGTGTGTGTGTGTGCGCCTGCTCCTCGTGGTGTTCAGCATGTTGGGGGACTTTGGAGACGAGATGGACCAGACGTCGTCCCGGATGGACTCGGTCCTTAAGAAGCTGGAGAAGGTGTCTCACATGACCAGCAGTGAGTTTACACACACACACACACACACACAGAGTTACCTTTGTTGCTGATCTGTCTTGAACGTGTCTGCTTTAATCCACGAAGACATCTGGAGGCTGTGAAGTGTCGGTTCCAAACTTTAGCAGATTTACCTTAAAGTCTTTAAACCTGTCGCACAAAAGAAAGATCAATTCCACCACCTATCAGGCTAGTTATTAATAACCTTGGGTTGCACAATATGTACAGTTCAACTGTAAACTGAACTGTTCGTACGTCGATCATCACTCCAGCTTCAAAGGGATTATTATTTTAATCACACAGTTTAGGATGAACAGGGGAGGCGACTCGTCTTCTGGTTCCAAAGTGTTCCTCACGTAGTTTAGATATTTGTCTTAAACGATGAACTTCAATGAACCGCGTCTCCTCTGCATCTCCTCAGGTCGGAGACAGTGGTGTGCCATCGGCGTGCTGGTCGTCGTCATGATCGTGGTCCTCATCCTCTTCTTCGCTCTCTGAGGCCGACGACCTCCGACCCCTCGACTACGTTCAGCGACGGACGGACAGATGGACATGGGTCCCCCCCCCCCCCCCCCCCCCCCTGTCCCGTCCCGTCCCTTTCCTTCCCTCTGAGGAGAAGCCGGTGACCCGCAGACAGAAGTGAGGAGAGAACCCTCCTCCTCTCTGCTTTTAATCATTCTAGTGGACAAACGAGAACAGCAGAGCAGACTCCGGTGTTATTACGTCTGTCCCATCGGTGCGCTCGGGTTATTGTTGGAGATGATGGTACTCAGTGGAGGGGCGGGACAGGAGCTCTTGTCAGGTTAAAAACACAAATGTGTAGAAACGTTAAGCAAATCAAGATACTTCTATGTTTTAAGAAGTACATTCGTATTTTAAATGTACTCCCAGCAGCTCAACACTTGGTCTCGTTTTCAGCGTCACACAGAACTTCTGAGTGACGCTGAAAGTAAATAAATATGAATTTATTATTAACTGTTCAATCAAGAAAGATGCGTGTGGGGGGGAGCAGATTGGGGGGAGGGGAGGGGAGGGGGGTTTCAGTGCTGCCTTAAATATATTTTTGTATATCGTGGACATGTGCAGTGTGTTTATGTGCCTACATCTCGTCATCGGTTGAGTCGGAGGAGAATCTTTTGTTGCTCTGCAGGTTTTTGTTTCCTCCAGTCACACTAACCCGTAGACTCCCCGCTCGTCTTCTCGGCGCTGTGGCCGAGCGGACGCGCGCGGTTTGAGTTCCCGATGGAGGTTCCGTCTCCTCGGGGGGTTGAAGTCGGGTCAGCACAACGTTCGGCACACGATTGGTGGATTCTTTGTTCGTCTCACTGGGCGGCGAGAGACGAGCCTCGTCTCGGAGCGAATGGGTTTGTGATGAGAGGAGGAGGAGCGGTTGCCGGGCAGGATGCCTCCACACTGAGCCTGATCCAGGCCGACGGCTCCCTCTGCTGGAGGCCTCGTTGTTCCTCTGTGACGGTTTTTTTATGTGTAATCCTGTGTGATCCACATTTTTCTTTTTCTTTTGTCAGCCAGAGCTCAGCGTTACACATTTCTCCTGAGACGTTTTGGGTTTTCAGAGGTCAGGTGTCCCAGGATTCCATGCGGGTGGAGTTCAGGGACGAGATCCTCTCGGTAGTTCCTGTGTGTTTAGTGTGTTTTCACATATTCAAGCCCTCGCTCCTTAAATGCCTCCGTGGGGAAAATGTCTGCAAGCACAAATGAAGCGCTCCCATCGCGAGTCCCTGTTAAGAGACCAGAGGTCTGCAGGTAGAGGGTTCTCCATCATGTTTGGATTCAACTACATTTACTGCATAATACTGTAACATCACATCTGTATTTATTTGTTTCATTGTAACCGTCTGCTGCAGGACGAGGATCTGAATGTACCGATATTTCTTATCTTCCATATACATGAAGAATACATGTGACTTGGCTGCTGTTGACAACTGAACGGAACATGATTGTTTTCTGGCGTTTAAAGTTCCATTAAACTTGTTCAACGTGAATTTGACTTTGTGTTTTTTAAATGATGAATTATAAGACTTGTTAAAGAGGCTTTTAAACATCGGAGCGTCTATGTTTAGACCTGTGTGTGCTCGAGCGCGTCTCATCCGCGTCCCTCTGAGCTTTGTGTTTCAGATGAAAAGCTTCCACCAGCGAATGTCTCAGGACCGACTTTTAATCGAGAGCGGAGCAGTCGTGTGAAACGACATTTTATCTGTGATGAGCAGAGCGTCGGTCCCACGAGGGAGGAGCCACATCATTTAAATTAAAATACAGCTCGTCGCTCTAAGATAAGATTCTACAAGACTGATCTGATGCGTTTATCTAGTTTATATCAAATGTAATAACATTTTGTATGTCGAAAAATATGATGAAAACAAGTCATGATATAGTAAGTCGAAAAATATGAAAAAGTCATGACTACTTGTACTTTGTCCACCACTGTACCCGAGCAGGAGACATGTTTAAAGGCAAAAGCATCTGAGGAAATAAAGGGACATTCAACGTCTCATCCTGCAGTTCCCACTTGTGGCCACAGTGGCCGCTGTTCTGCAGAATCGACATCTTAAATATGGAAATACCTGATACGGGACGGAGGTAAATAAAGACTCGACGCAGCAGTAAGGTCAGTCCTGTTTGTTAAAAACCTTTTATTAAGATATTCAGATTTTTCCTCATTTTTAATCAGTCGGGTTTCTTTTTATCTTTACAGTAGTTAATGTGCAATTATCTTTATTACTGGGTCACAGTTAGGAATTCACAAAGTTATTGGCACTTGGAACACATGGGGGAAACACTGGCATGTACAGGGGGGGGGGGGGGAAAGGGGGTTTGGGTAGGGGGGGGGGGGGCAACACGGCAGGGATGGGGTACGGGTCTTTGGGGCGTGTGTGTGTGTGTGTGGCGGGTGAGGTCGGGTATTTTCTTAGACATCAGTAGAAACTACTGCTTTGTTTTTATTTTATCTTTTTTTTTTTGTCGTTTACCTCCAAAAAGCTGTGATTTCACCTTTTTCATTTTTCTGGGTTATGAAGAATAATAAAGAATAATAGCTCATGCTGCGAGTGCACATCTAACAATCAGACTTCGATAGTGCTTCTATGTCATAATGTACAGTTTATATATTTATATATTTATAGTGGAAAATAAAAATAACTTGTAAAAGAACAGAGTTCTGCAGAGTATTTTCTTCTTTTTTTTTTACCCAACAACACCAGAGACAAGGAAGAGAAGGAATAAAAAATATCATTCACGGCTGCTATGATCCTGTGTAACCCCCCCCCGTAGTATAACTGAGGTAAGACTGTGTCGACGTGGACTCTCGGCTGGTGTCCCGTTGTTCTGTAAAAACCCTGCGCTGAATGCATTCAGAATGGTCCAAGAGTCGCTCTGCTGAGGCTCCCGGTGGTTCGATTCCTGACAAACAAAAAGACTGTATGTGTGTACCTGCTTTGTGACGGCAGCCACAGCAGCGCTGAGAGATCTGTGGGCATTAAGGTCTGCTATGGCTGACAGCTCCCGAGGTAAACTGGTACTTTTAACTGCATCGGTGACACGAAGACGAGCTTCTGCATCTCAGAGGTTTGCCCGTTTTGTATTAATTTATACATATACAGTATATTTTTATATATATATATATATTTGTGAGTGTGTGTTTTGTCTCTGGTGTGTAGGGATTTGGGAAAGAGCGGAGTAAATGTTTTGTGGACAGGAGACTACAGACCTGCAAAAAGAGACGGGGCGGGGGCATGAGGTCGGGCTGCAGCGCCGACGAAGAGGAAGGCGGCTGAGCTGAGAGGAAAGGGGGGGGGGAATTCACCTCGGGATCATTATTTAAAAAAAAGTAAAGTGGCTCTCAAGTTCAGCCAGTTCTTGCTCACTTAAGGACATTCAGCAGCGTCCCCACACAGAGAAAATAAACCCTCTTTATCTGGCCTCAAGTGTGGAAATCAGTCGCTCGCTGGTGAAGGTAGTGGAGCCTCAGATATTTCCCGGTGGAGACCAAAAACGGAGCTAAAAGGAGGGTGAATATCAGACTTGGCTTCACCAGAAACACGACGATGGATGCTCATATTGGTGTTTGCTGGATGTGTTTGAATGTGCCCCCATGTGAAGAGAAAAACAACTAAATAAGTGATTATTAAAGCCAAAGTTCAAGTGTCTGAGTGTGGATGTTACCACGGATCAAACACTTATGCAACAAATGTGACGAATCAAAAACCCAACAAGCATTGTGACGTCGTGGACCGTTGGAAGGACTCCGATGTTGTCCGTCTTTAGTTCGTTGGTTTAGAAATGGAGACGTGAACATCGGGCGGATTAGCAGAACTTCTGGAGGTTTTGTGCTCGTTTGGATCGACACTGGACCATCAAATGCTCGCTGGGTGATCAGAAACCTTGAGATCTGTGTAGGAACCCGGTTGAGTCAACTCCAACCTTCACCCCTCACCCACCTGGACTCTCCCCCTCCCTCATCATCATCATCATCATCATCATCATCATCATCATCATCATCATCATCATCATCATCATCATCATCATCGTTTTTTTACAGTAAACATATGTCAAAGAGAAATGAAAACGTACAAAATAAAAAAGGGAATAATAGTACAAAAAGATAAAAACAACAAAAATAAGGAACTTACAAAAAGAACCCTTACATTACATCTTGACCCCCCCCACCCCAAAAAAAAACAAAAACAAAAAGTCCCACTTCTTACTCCAGCATCCAAACCACAGACAGGAAGTGACATAGTGAGCGTGCTCAGAAAGGTGCAGAGGACTTTGACTCTCCGGGACAGTCGAGCGCTCGCCCAAAGGTGCTTTTTTTTTAATATTGTTTAAGGATTATTCCACTCGCTCCTCGTCACTTCAGTTCCTTTCTGTGGATCGGCGGCCGAGACTGAGATCAGAAACTTGGTGGATGGACGAGTCAAAGCTGCAGGTGCTCTTTTGTAAGTCACGTCAGCGGTTTCAATCTGCCGACAGCTTTATTTGGCATCACGGCCCACACGCGGGTCCACGTTTTGGCGGGTTATTTTGCGTCTTGTGTCGAATTGGTTACAAAAAAAACAAAATGAGCAGCAGAAGCGTCCGGCGGTCTGCCGCTAAGGTGCTCGGAGGAGTACAGTGATCGAGACTGTCAGTACAATCGTAGCTTCACTGCTTCTCGGGATATATCGCCCTCTGGTGGCGTTGGCAGCTACTGCAGCCACTGAGCCGCAGTAGCTGCTTTGAGCCACTCGGTGGCGTTTAAACAAAGAAAACAAACATTCAAGCAGCAGGAGCTTAATCTTTGTGGAAGAGCTGGTCCAGAACTGGGTCCAGTAAACGTACTTTGGGTCGATTGATAAAGAAATGCGTTCGTGCGTATCGTCACAAGAGGATTTGATCCATGAAGAGATTTTTGATTTCAAACAGACATTCAGACTTGTAGCCTTAAAATGAAGTGAGCCCGTACAGCGCTTTGCTCGCCTCGTCCGTCCGTCCGTCAGTCAGTCGGTCCCTGATCCCCTCCCCCCCCCCAGCAGCTGCAGTACAGTAAAAACCAAACATCTGGTCCAGCATTAAAACCTCGTCCCTCCCGTCCGCAGCACCTCAGTCGTACAACAATCGCAATGCAAAAATATGTGGTTCTCTTTCTCTAAACTATTTTACAGCTAACCCGCGTCTCGCCTTTCTTTTTTTGTCATTTTCTTTTTTTAAACTTGGCAACTCTACGTACAGGTGTTAATGTGGACTTGTTAGTAGCATCTCTCTGAACTCTTAAAGGACTACAGTACACCAGCTCAGATGTAGAAAAACAACAGTAACACAAAAGGAAAAATGTAAATGTGTACAAAGCTCTTCTGAAAGCGCGTATCGCTTTAAGAGAAAAACTAAAAAAAAAAAAAAACTGTGGCCCCGCCCAACCTTTAGTCGTGAAACTGTGCTCACCGTGTTAGAGTTAAGATTCTGTGAACAAAAAAAAAACTTCTCAAAATGACAAAAACCTCTTCCAACTTCATCTTGATTTCCCGCCCGTATCATTTAAAGGACACTGGAGTCCTGTTAACCCTGAGCAGCGTCTGGCAGGCTGTCTGAGGATCACTACAGAGCTATAGATCTACGTCAGATTGTTTTTACAGTTTCTTTTAAAGTGAAATGCTCAGTGAATCAGAGTTCTCTCTGGTAAACAGTTACAGTGTTTATATCTGGGGCTTTTATTGTGAAAGGTAACAACAGAAGGAGTGGATCTTTGTCCCGGTTATAAAGGAGTAATAAAGTTTCTTGGTTTTGACTGTGGAGCCGCCATGTTGTTTCGAATGTGTTCGTTCCGCACGACGTCATTGGTTGATGCCTTTAGAGGCGTAGAGAGAATCACCATCGTAGTTCTGATACATCAAATTTAACCCATTTTAGCTTTTTCTGGATATCGATGACTTTCCTCCTCGATTACTCTGCTTCTTACTTTTCCATAAATTGTTTGGTTTATAAATGGCGTAAAATGCCTTTTTTTAAATTTTGAGGCCGAGAGGACGGCTTCAAATTTCTCCTCTTGATCAACCGACGGTTCCAAAAAAAAAACTCAATTATCACTGAAGATTTAACCTCTAACGATTATTGTTAGAATAAGTGTTTACACGTAGACAGTCTTCTGTATTGATTAAGGTCACGAACACTGTATTAATAACCATGTTGTATCTCCACACTACTGCTTAATAATCGGGTCCAACCAGCTCTCATGTCTTCACCAGAAACGCTTAAAACAGGGAATAAAGGACATTGGGGTTAAACGTTCAGGACATCAAAGGATCTCCACACATTAGATATTTTAGTGCAATTTCAACTTCAAAGCTCTGGGTTTTTTCTTTACCTGTACTTTTAGGATCAATAAGCGGGTCCTGGTTTTGGAGGGGGGTCAGGTTTTTCGAGGGGATTCAGTGGCATTCAGCCCACGACCCCGCCCCTCTGCACACCGCCCCGCTACAGAAACAAACACGCACCCAGGTATTTATCTAGGCAGCACAGGGCCAGAGAGAGACGATCACCCTCCTCCTCCTCTTCGTCATTTGCCTCCTTTCTCTCTCCCTCCCTCCCTCTCTCTCCCTCTTGTCTCTTTGTCTGGATTGTGGCTTCGCTCATGTGACGGCAGACTGCCGCAATGCCTCATCTGTCCTGGGAGATTCTTAACAAACGTCGTCTCCTCCTCCTCCTCCTCCTCTCAAGTCTAGGATGATTAGAATTATTCTTTTGAGCCCACTTGGTCACTTGGATTTAAACAGTCTGGTCGATATATTCGCCTCCTGATTGCCCGATTCTCTCACGAGGACATTCTGATTCGTCCCGGGTAAAATAGGGACAGATAGACTTCTCCTCATCAATAGTCTGATCATTTAAAGGTGCAGTAAGCACACACACACACACATACACACTGATGTGCTTGGTCAGATGCACCTACACCCATTCATCTGCATATTTGCATTCCAATAGCTCTCTCTCTCTCTCTCTCACTCACACTCACACACACACACACACACACACACACACACACACACACACACACACACACGCACACACACGGGTGAGAGTTTGGCAGGGATTTGCATTCTATGAAGAAAATGGAGTCGACACAGAAATGAAGCAGCAGTGGAGAGAAAAACAATGGTTTTACGTAATGAAGCGTCAAGGGACCGACACTATTTAGCTCCTTCCTGTGTGTGAGAGTGTGTGTGTTTGTGTGTGTGAGAGAGTGAGTGTGTGTGTGAGAGTGAGTGTATATGTGTGTGAGTGAGTGTGTGTGAGAGGGAGGGAGACAGAAATGTGTACATGAAGAGAGAGAGAGAGATGTAAACAAAGAAAAGCTGAGAGACGGGTGAGGGCAGAGGGAGGGAAGGAAAAGGGACAATTGAAATCAAGAGACAAAGTGTCCCCATGCAGGACGGGACGGGACGTTTAGACCAGGCAGAGATTTAGGGAGGGGAGCCAAAAGAAGTGCATTTTACATTTGAATGATTTCTATGTAGGAAGGTGCAACACTATCCTACAGAACAGATGTGTAGACTCTGGATATGCGACTCTGCAGATGTGTGTTGGTATGGAGCTCTGTGAGGCAGACAAAAACAAACAGCCACTCATCTCAACCTCTCTGCACATACCACCCACTCTCACACACACACTCTCTCTCTCTCACACACACACAGACACTCTCTCTCTCACACACACACACGCACGCACAGAGAGAGACCTTGCAGAGCCGAGCACCCAAACCACCCACACACAGTGACAGACATGCGCAGTCGCAGCGTGAAGCCAGACACACACGTATGCAGCGCATAGATCCGCGACGCAGACCCAGCCTGGCATAGACATGCGCATTACTTACACACACACACACACACACACACACACACACACACACACACACACACACACAC